GCGGGGTATAAATAAATTTTATTATTATTATTATTATTATTATTAGATCTGGGTCCCATCTCCAAGATATTTCATTATTTATATGCAAATGTTCCAAAATCCAGAAAACTCTGAAATCCAAAACATTTTATATAGCACCATCAGTGTAAATGCTACTTTACAGAGTAAAACATATGAAGGTCCTTTAGAGTCTTTTGATGTTTCACTAAGGTTGCCATATTCCAGTTACTCATATCTGAATGCCTAATTTGCATATTATGCAAATTACTATAATTATGCATAGTATTAATTTGCATTCTGATTATGCAATTCAGAACATTAATCATTGCACTTTTCCTACCATTAGGTTTTAACTTCAGTACTAGTAACAAGCTAAGAGCTCTTTTTTCCTTCTCCTTGCCCCAGCTGGTTTGAAGAGAAGGAGATTTCCAAGCAGCCCCAAAGAGTAAATGGATTCTCTTTACTCTCTGGAGGCTGTTTGGAAGTGAAGTTCCACCCTGCTGCGTAGCACAAGTTTATAACAATAGAAAGGATTTAAATATATTAAAAACAAATTAAACAAAATTGTAAGTTAAAACAGATTTAAAAGATTAAATACTTTAAAACTGCACATCAGTATTTGAGATTTTTGCTTATGAGGCAGTTGTAAAGATACAAGACCTCTGCCAAGGAAGAGTAAGGTTAGTAACCCTAATGGTTGCCCATCCACGCTACCTACAAGGACTTGATTTCATGCCCTGTGATAACATCCCTGGCAAGTATTTAGAGTCTGATTTATCCACACCTACTATAATTAAAGCAATTATGCCACATTTGGTTTCCTTCCTTTTGTAATGTCATGCCGGGAATTCTTGGTTAAGGAAAGCGAGGAAGGAAGTTTGAGAAAAAGGTTATAGGTAATGCTTACGTAATAGTAACAAAATAATTGATTTAAGTGTGGTGCTGGCTTCATAGCATGCTCAAAAATACCTTTCTGGTATTGGTATTCCATCATACTTCAAAGTCTTTATACCTCTTCAGTAGCACTTAAAGAACTTGGACAAAGAGTTACTGGCGGGAAGATGTGTTAACTGCTAATACATGGGGTAAAACACACAGAAATGTTTGTTCAGCAATATATATTTTCTAAATTGGCACAAATGGACAGCTTCTTTTGCTACCAATTAAAAGATATGCAGTTGTTTCCTTTTTCTCTACTTAGCAGATTTTCTGTTTAGAAAAGTAAATGGAAAAAGCGGTAAGAAGGGCTTATACAAATGGGCCAAAAGGCCCATGCTCCCCTGGACCTCATGTTGTCCTGTCCAGATGACATAAGCCATTAATCCTGGGCTGGGATCCAGCAGATCAGTCATATAGATCCAATAGATATGGTTCAATCCCAGCCCAAAGGGGCCTTAGCTTGGCTTGAAAAGACTGGTTGTTTGCTCTGTGGTGACAGCTGACAGATCAGATGGACCTGGTGTGCCCCTACCTGTCTCCATTGTCACATCTGGTAAGAAGACCCCTGTTGTGGCCTGTGTCATTGGATGGGAGCATCTGGCCATGTGGGTATAGCCAGGTGCCCCATTTCTGCCCTTACCTGCAGCAATGGGGTTCTTCTTACTCTCCATATTTACTAATGCTACATTTTTGCAAATGTGGCACTATTGTCCCAGTTGTAAATGCCCCATCACCTTCTTAACAGCCAGCGGATGCACTGAGTGAAAGCAATTGAAGCACAGCAAGATGACATTTCCAGCCCCCTCCAACCAGCGAATAAGACTGTGATAAGGCATTATAATGGGATCCAGCTTCAGATTGCCACAGCCTAACTGCAGTAACTAATATTGTTTTCCTTTGGGTGGCAGAGGATTGGACTGGTGGCCCTTGTGATCTCTTCCAATTCTATGATTCTATGACACAGCTTTTCATTAAAGCCTTGGGGGCCTAATTTACTTTTAATCGTATTTGGAGTTAAAACAGGTACTAGTTTGTTTCTGGACAGAATTCAGAGTGTGGACATGACCTTTAAAGCCCTACACACTTTTGGTCCAGAATCAGAATTCAAATCCCAGTCTCCTTAGTTAAACAATCTATGGTAGCAAAACAAAACTTACCATCTTCTACTTTTGATTTGGCAACAGATGCAGAACCTTAAGTGTAACTGCAATTTAAAAAAACAACAAAACACCAAGGAAGTCAAAATATTTCTGATTCATTTTAGATGTGGCATTATGTATTTATTCTTGTATGTTTCTTGTACCTAAATTTGCTAGAATGATAAAATGTTTTCTTCAATACTAGCTGCATTCTGCCAATACTTATCTAAATTTTCATGTTCAATTATAAAGTGTTTGCAAAGTGCATTTTCTTCTGTTGGTAACAGTTAAGTCTCTTTAATTTCCTGGGTTAATAGTATTTCCCATTTCTTCCCACCTGTCTTGTTTTTTTAATCCTGTCTTGAACTCAACATATGCAACTGGAGACGCCAAGGGGATTAATTTCTACTCAAGCAAGCAGATGTATAATGAACATGCCTGTGAATTAAAACTGGATTCCTTGATTCAAAAAGTTAATAGCAACTATCTTTGCATTAAAAAGCAAAGAGATTCCTCTTTATATATTCTAGTAAGGAGAAAATTTGAGCTGAAAGGCTTGAGTAACCAATCTCCCGCCAAGATCTTCGTAGAAGAAGTCACCTGCTGTTGTGTAATTAAATAGACCATCCCTAACAGATACGCTGTGATACGATGAGACCCAGCTAAACAACATTGGTATTTTCAGCCTCTCTTGACACAAGGAAGAATTACTTACTTAACCTGGTTTTATCAAAGAGCACCCGTACAGCAGAAGAACAAATCATCCGCTTGTACATGTCACATAAGCCCTTCCTTAAAGACTATTCCACCGTAAGTGTGCATGCTTAACATTTCAATAAGCAGAAAGATGATAGTTTATTGTATAGTTGTAGTTGCTTTCTCTGATTTTTTTACATTAAATTGCAAATGGTTAAATCTTTCTTCTGTTTCCATATTTCTGAAGCACCCTAAACCTTGTGGTTAATCAGCATTGCTGTTCATTTTATAGCTTGTGATAAATTATTAACATTTGCCTTACTGGGCTTTCTTAGTCATTCACATTTTGCCAGCATCTTCAAATAAAAACCTTTAATTATTTTTTTTACTCAAGTTATGTGCCAGATAAAGTTGGTGGGATGTAGAGACTGAAATAAAATCAGCAGACCGTGTCCACATACGAACTATGCATACAATCTATAGATATTAAGAATATGAAAATATACATGAAACTGTATCTCTCATTCTATGAAATATCTGCGAAATTAACCTAAGATTTTCTTAATGTGTGCATACATCATAGATATAGATATAGATATAGATATATAGATATAGATATAGATATAATGTGTACATACCCAAAACACAGACCAAGGAATCAGCACATGTTGAAAGTATCAGATACAGTTGCATGATGAACATTTAAAAATAGAATAAGACAGGATCAGCATGTCTGTGATCAACTGAATTTAATGAGCTCCTCTTAAAATATGCATAAGCAGTAGTCCTCATCTTTAGATAATCCACAGTTACTACTGTTACTACCATTTATTAAGACGTTTAGAGGAGAACAGTAGGATTAAACTAGAATTCTATAGTAAGGTGTGATGAACAAGTAAAGTGAACTTAATTTGCAAGTGGAAAATATGTTCCACTTCTATCAATGGCTAAGAGACAAACTAGGTGAGAAAAAAAGCAAAAGCGATCTCCAAATGTATTAATAGTGATATACAGTTGTGGGGGGTGTCTCCAGATTTAACCCCTGAATCTTTTCCCTCAAACAGAGTATAATAGCTGGAGCAAAATCACCTGTTTAGAAATAGTTCAACACACGCACCATTACACAGCACATTGCTGTTGTGTTTCAGATTCTTCATTTTTATTGTAGCTCCGGCCTGCAAATACCATAAATGGGTGGGAGACAGGCAAATTCTGGTGGGAGTAGGCAGACACCAATCCCATCCCAAATCCTCTCCTTTGGATTAGGGGACTCTACTAAGTGGGACTTGCTGTATGACTCCTCTTGCCCTGAGTTCCCACATTCTCCAGGATCACCCCATTTTGCACATTATCCTAACTCCCAGAAGAAGCTTTGTAAAGAGCTCAGGAGGGCACAACCAAGTGAAAGTCACCTTCTTTCTTCCCACTCTCTCCTATTTGCATTTCTATGGATCTAGCCAGGTTATATGTGCATAAATCCTATTTCTGCTTCTTAATTATCTTTTTATCCCTCCCATCCTCTAAAGTTTCCATAGCGGCATGTATGTTGGTTACCTTTTAGTACAGCATTATCAACTGAATTCTACATAGTGGAAATTGAAGCAATCATCATCACAGTCCCCATAGTCGTATCCCAATGAAGGCAGTTGTGGTGATCCATATCAACAAACCAGTTCTAGCATTTGACACCAGTACTAGGAACAGGTACTAGGAACTAAGGGATCTTGCTCATTCAAGACAAAGACACCACAATATATAAATATTTGCTAGGAAAATTATTTTTCTCCATGTACTGTGACAATTGTAGCTATAGGAGCAGGTAACATAATCGGCAAGACCCAGCACTAGTGTGAGCCCTGACTCCATAATACAATTGGGTCTAAAAGAATTAGAGGTAGTACTTACAATGTGATAGAACTCAATAGGATCTACTTCTATTACCCTGGCAGTTATTCATAGTTATCAAGCTACCAGTGCTGAATTAAGACTGGTGTCATAATAAAAACAAAGAAGAAATTACTTCTCAGAAATAATCACCTATATGAGTCAGGAGACAGTGTGATGTAGTGGTTTGAGCATTTCACTATGACTTTGAAGACCAGGATTCAAATCCCTGCTTGGCCATGGAAATCCACTGGGTGACCTTGGGCAAGTCACACACTCTCAGCTCCAGAGGAAGACAATGACAAAACCTTTTCTGAACAAATCCTGCCAAGAAAACCCTGTGATAGAGTTGGCATAAATGGGAAACAACTCAAAGGTACACAACAACAACTACAGTACACTCAGAAAATATTTTCCTATGTTAAAAACAAGTGGGCCCAACTTGCCTTTATAAACCATGTACCATACTTCTTCATTTGGTATGAAACTTCTTAGCATGTTAGTTGTTAACTACCTTCGAGTTAACCCTGATTCATAGTGACACATGGATGAGACTCCCTGTCCTCCACTGCTCTGCTCAGGTCTTGCAAATTCATTCCCATGACCTCTCTGATTGAGTCCATCCATCTAGCATGTGGCCTTCATCTCTTCCTTCTGCCCTCAACCTTTCCTAGCATTATTGTCTTTTCCAATGATTCACACCTTCTTGTGATATGGCCAACAGCCTCAGTTGGGTCATCTTGGCTTCTAGGCAGAGTTTGGGCTTATTCTAGTTTGAAGTTGGGGTAAGATAAGAGCCTATTATGTAAGATGCTTTATGTACAGATTATGATAATCACTCAAATGGCTTGGTTCTTAAAGTGTGATGGTCCTTCACACTTTATATATGTATAAAAATGGTGTTAGGTGGTTTCCATACACCACATTAAAGTATCTGTGGAAAAAAAGGAGAGTCCCTTACTGACCTAGAAGTCACATTGCTTGGGGCCAAGAAGTATTGTGGTTAAAAGACATAACTGAGAGCCAGCGCATCTCAGGTTAACATGGACACATGTCCTTCTTTAAAGAATATAACCTGCTATTTGTCAGAAGACAAGCCTTTATTTGACAGTGATGTGAATGTGAAAGTGGCCAGCCTCTTCCTAATTCAGATTTCATCCCAGTAACAAAATCACTAGGTGGTCTTGGGCAAGCCAATACTCCCCACCCTTAGTTTCTCAGCCCTCCAGCTGTTATGTGAGAATGAGAGCGGGAGCGCTGGGGAAACACTGCCATACTTCATGGCTATTGAAAGAATTACTGGGATTCTGCATGAGATGTCCTCTGAGCACATGGAAAGGAAGTACATCGGTATTAAGTGATATCATGATTTTCTATGCCAACAAAAGAGGAGGAAATATCCACATACACCTGGTTTTTGGGAGGTTTTGGAACAGACTTCTCTGAGTGAGAGGCAAGAATATGTCCACAAAAGCCCCCCGCAGCATCAATGAATGCGTAAAGGAAGCTTGAATGATTGAGTGCAGCTGCCAGAGCTTGATTAAAACAGCAGGTGGTACAAATAAACCAAGACAAATAGGACAGAATGGTCTGGTTGCTTTCTCTTTCCCAGGCTCCAGAACTCATGGGCGCTCTGGTTTCTCTGCACCACCTGCATGGATTAATATAAACACAAAGCTGTGTTATTACAACCCCTGCTGCCTCCTAAGGATAGTAGTTGCTTGGCTTACTGTTACATCCCTGCTTCTTAAGTATGGTTCAGAGACACAGCCATGATAGTCTGGAATATCAGTATGCAAAGGGATCTTGTAGCACCTTTGAGATTAACTGTGCAAAAGAAGTTGCAGCATAAGCTTTCATAGACTTGGTCTACTTCCTCAGATGAATCGAGTCTTAAATATGGTGACAGACATTTTCCTGTTGGAAGAATAGAGGTGGGAAGTCAAGAGATAGCTATCCTATTTGTTGGGGCCAACACTAGCTCTGTCAGTTTACCCAATAGACATATTTAGTTTTAAAATGTCTTCTGTTTAGGATGTGGCGGTTCTTCTTGCAGTACAATTGTTTAGCATAGCTATACAATGTTATCTTTCTGGCTTTCTTAGGACTTGTTCACACTTACATTTTTGCACTGAAGATATTCGAATCGCGTCATCCGTGCGACACTGAACAGAAGTTCCAACTATGTTTGCCACGATTGACTCTCTCTGTGGCATTTTATCCCTACTGCCATTCACATGGGGGGGGGCATAGGTATAAAATGCCACTAGAGATTTGATCGTGGCAGGAGGGGGAGGAAGAGGAAGAAGGAGGACAAAGGAGGATGTGGCAGGTGTGGGGGGAGAAGAAGAGAAGGGAAGAGGAAGAGGAGGAAGGCAGAAGACAAAGAAGGACATGGCAGATGCAGGGGGAGAGGAAGAGGAGGGAGGAGGAGGAAGAGCAAAGGCAGCAGTGAGATGCTCCAAATGGGATTGACAATGCGTTTCTTTGGAAGCTCCCTCAAAAAAAAAAAAAAAAAAAAAAGTGGGAAATGCCTTGGATTCAAAAGCGCCAGTTTAAATGGGTTTTGCCTCTTGCCAAATTGTGTTGGAGACAATCTGCACGAGTACGAATGACTCCCCTTTAAACCGATTTCCAGACCGGTTTATAACACAGTGTGAATGGGGCCTTAAATATCATCTATCACTGTGTTAACATTGAAGCAAACTACGCCTGACATACAAAGGCATGAAACATCTCTAGCACTTTTTTCTTTTGTTTTATCATGAAAACCAGTTTTGGGAAACTGCTATTTTGATTAGAAGAGGACATGGAGATGTATGCTTAACCCTTCTTCTATTTTTTGCTTAAAATTTATACTATGCAGTTTTACTCCTCTTCCAGTGTGTTTTTAAGGAAACTACACATCTCTAATCTTTTGAGGAAGGAAACGGGGGGGGGGCAGGAAGCAGGATTGTATTGTATTGAACCCAAACAGGTGTATCAGGGGAAGGCTTCTCACCTTGTTCCATGCTCGTCTCTACTTCTGATGCTGTTGCCCTCAAAACAGTAGCCTCCCATGCCTGTATTCATTTTTTAAAATGATGAAACTATTACATCAGTTTGCCCACACTGCTTTGGGATGATAGGACTCGGAAGGCACCAACTGGGAGGAGCTGTGTGTATATGTGTGTATAGTTATCTCTTTAAGACATCCTTTTACTGTATTAGTGTCTCCCCAGATTAATTTCTTCTGCAGAATGTACATTCAACTCTGCTGATCATCTTGTTCATCTTATCTTCTGGAGACTATTTGTGCTAACGTGAAGATCATATCTACATTCTTTAGGGGACTTCATTTTTAATTTAAACATCATAACAATTTTTTATTCTTACTCCAAAATTTTTTCTAAAGTCTTTTCTATCTGCTCTGATCACAGAGCATAATTCAATGCTTTGTGGTGTTGGGAGAATAGAGCACTGCTTGACAGCAGATCACCCTGGCTTGGGCCACTTCTTGTTTAATTCCTGGCCCATTTGTATGTTACTCACTGTCACCTGTTCAACTGGATCTGGTGGTGATAATGGTTCCTGTCGTTTCAATATTACCAACCTAACTAATGCACACATGCAAAGCTTTCAGTGGCCCATGAGAGGTGGAATACCACAAATTAGCAGCAAGTAGTGCTAACTCTAAAGAAACTCACTCCTAATAGCTCCCTAGTCAAACATGACTTCTTTAACCTTTTTGCCATGGTTTGTCATGGTTTGAGCACTGGATTGGGACTCTGGAGATGATGGTTTGATTCCCCATTCAGCATGAAACCCACTGGGTGACCTTGGACAAGCCACATGCTCTCAGTCTTGGGAGAAGGCAATGACAAACCTCCTCTGAACAATTCTTGCAAAGAGAACCCCATAATAGGTTCACTTTAGTGTCGCCGTAAGTTGGAAACAACTTGAAGGTAGGTAACAACAACAACAACTTAGGTTCATCATCTACCTTTATAACTGGATATGCTTCAAGATACATTGAATGCTTCATCCTGTTCTGCCTTAGTGTCCCTTGTTCATGGTATCATACCACAATGTACCATCATCTAAAATAGGGAAAGCAAAGTATGACCCATGAGCTCCATACAGCCCCCTGCCCCAGAGCTGCTTTTGTGGTCCCCCAAGGCCCCCAGAGGATCCCAAACCCTTATTTGTTTGTTTGTTTCATTTATATGCTATTGTTCTCCCAGTTATTTATTTATTTATATGCTATTGTTCTCCCAGAATGAGTCCCAAGATAGCTTCCAAAAAGAATCAGTCAAAATACCTTAATAAAATTTTAAATACAATTAAGCCCCTCCTCATTATACAATATAACATCTTTTAAAGCCTTACAAAAGATAAAACACAAATAAAACATAGATCTCGATAAAAACCTTCCCTGCTTATTCATTAAAAGCTTGCTTAAACAGAAATGTCTTTGCCTGCCAGCGAAAGGAAAGCGAGGAGGAGGCCAGCCTAGCTTACTGTGGAAAGATGTTGTAGAGCAGCGGTTCCCAATCTGTGCTCCGTGGAGCCCTTAGGGCTCTGTGAGTCAAAAAGGTTGGGAACCCCTGTTCTAGAGGATGGGAGCAGCTACACAACACACACACACACACACACACACACACGAAAAAATACTCCCAAATGCCCTCTAGAGGACATGGGGTCATTTTTGCCCCATTTATGTCCTTCTGGGCCATTTTAGGCCATGAGTGCCTCCATTTTTCTTTTTCTTTTCTTTTCTTCTAAAGGAAAAATGAGAGGTGGACAGAAAGCGGCTTTCCTAGAAGAGATTTGGGGGCTTTCCTAGAAGAGATTTCCTAGAAGAGATTTTGTCTCTGTGGGGTAATCCAGCCCTATCCTCCCATTGCTGCACCTCCTTGACCTAAAAGAATAATTTTTCTCGAAGATAGCCTCATGGTTTGGGACAATACATCAGATAATTTTTACTCCTCAGATAATTTTACCCCATGAAGTTAAGGTTCCAACTATCTAAGATCAAGTCTGTCTATGTGTCTTCATAGTTGTCTGTTGATTATGGTGACTCTATGAATTTCATTGGGTTTTCTTAGGCAAGGAAAGAGGTGGTTTTGCCAGTTCTTTCCCCTGAAATAATAGCCTACAGAACCTGGTACTAACCAGAATTGACTCTGCTTAGTTTCCAAGATCAGATGGGAAATGGTACCTTCAGGGTATTCAGACAACCCAAATTAAAGTATACACCA